CGCGTGTGACGCATGTGACGCAGTCCCATTGACGCTGATTGACGTTGCACAACCCTTTGTTCGATGTTTTTATCGTCCTCAACGGTGTATATCTGCAGAGATTATGATGCTAAACAACCTACTGATTACTGCTGTAGATGCCTGTGGAATTTGGGAGGTCAAGGGGAGCAACGAAGGTGAGTTCAACACCTGACGCAAAACTGAACTGACGCTGACTGACGCTGCATGCGTCAAACGTCAGTGCAGCGTCAAAATCCCTTTGCCCGGATGAGGGGACTAGATCTGATAAAAAGATCTATCCATAAACTTTCCTTGGAACGGGACACGCGCGCGCTTCGGATGCCCATCCTGGAATATTCACGCTGCAGTGCACAGTAGTCTACCCAGCAATCCAGACAGAGGATACCGTTCAACTGCCGTGTCCCAAGGCTGGACATCAGGTTATATTTCCTTTTAGCAAAAACAAGTTCAGTCCGCCACCTCCCCTGCTCATTTCCACGATCGCCGCGCAAGGGGCTATTCTCGCTCAGTCTAAACCTTGGTATGAGCCCACGGTCCCTCCTCGCCCACCGCGTAAAAACTTGAACTCGAAAAAGAAGCCCGCGACCAAATGATGCTCTTGGTGGGATTCGAACCTCCAACTCCCACATTTATCGGTGGTGTATCAAGCACGCGCAATGGGTGATGTACCATGTCATCTCCAAGAGCTATTGTTTATACCTCTGAACATACATTGCTTCATGCTTTTTTTGCCTGAGAAAAAAATGCAGCTTGCCGTTACGTGCCCTGCTGAGGGTTCACATCTCCGCTTCCCATTCTGAACACGCTCGATTTCTGCTCATGTGTAATGGGGGGTGTACCGATTCATCCACGTGGGCGGTTTGCTTACATTTTAAACCTGAGAATGAGCCACCTCTTTCATTCGCTTTCGCGGCAAAAATACAGTTCGGCGCTCTCGAGGGATCCGAATCTGCATGTCCCGTGTAGACCGGGAGATGACTATTTGAAGGCTGGTTGCCATTCATCCAGAAGAGTTATTTCTCCCCTTCTAAAACACGGATATCCCGTTCTCTCGCATGGCGAACGGGGAAAAAACCCCGATTTGCCACGCATTCGAACCCCCTGCCATTTACCATCAGATTTCTTTTTTTTGAGCATGGTCTGCTTATGTGTATTGGGCGATGTACCGATTTATCCACGAGGGTTATATCCCATTCATCTTGACAAGGATACCATCTTAACTATTCAAATTTTCCTTCCTGCCAGGAAGATTTAAAGAGAAGACAAAAAGCTGCTCAACTACTACAGACATGCCCTCGGGATGATTCGTACCCCCACTTGCTGATTAAATACTCCGTTGGGTGATGTATTACTTATCGACGAAGGCTCTTTCTCTACCTCTGAGCCTGGATATGAATCATGACATTCCATGGTCTCAACCCGGTTAGGACAAAAGTCGAAATCTAGTTCAATTCACCATAAAAACAGTCCTGAAACTCGCGTTCAATGGTGTGGTTTAAATTTGATCGACGCAAAAGTAAGGGAAGAATTGCATTCCTGCCCACCCGAAACTATGTTAAATTTCCATCTTAATTCCATTGAACGTGTGGATTCGACCGTGTGACTTCATTGCGTTGTTACGAGAACTGCTCAGCTGCCGTTTGAAGAAAGAAAAACTGCGGAAGGCAGTCAATATCCTACATTCTAATACATTCCCAGTGCATACTTTACAGCATATAGTGGTCATATAGAGAAAATAGAGCCGAAATCATAATGCCTGTGAATTGTGCACCCAAGAAAACCTTCCAGCTCATGACCGGTTCAAGCAAATCTGCATCGTCAATTTTGCAGAAGCTTTGATTCGATTCTGATATCCGGTGAATGATAGAATACAGAAGCAAAATATTATTAAATGGCGCACCAGTTGGCTCCGTTACTTCTTCACAATATGCACCGTTCGGCACTTCGTCGTCGTCAAAGACCTCGGTCTCATGACCTGAGCCACATTGACAGACATCAGAGTCGAGATACGGGATAATATATCAGCCTTACCGCAGACTTTATAAAGCGGATACCCAAGCTCACGGGCGACATCTTGACTGTATGGATCGAAACCCTTGGCTTGGTGATATTCTCGGATACCGGCATAGACAAGATCATCCCATGACCATAAAGATACACTCATGCTCAGTGTAAATGATGGGAAACCAAGTGTTTCTGCTTCTTCCGAGCCCAGGCGCTGGGCACCGGATGGATCGAGGGACCAGTATGCTGGACGGGCTAGATGTCGGAACTCTGAGGGGGAGTTGCCTTGTAGATCCTTCAAGGGACACAAGAAGAGGTATCCGTGGGGGATGTCATTCTCGTAAGACAGACTCAGCCGATAGTTCACCTGCGCGATCAAACCTGGCAAGTACATGAAGTATGAGAATGAGTACAAGATGTACACCTACCATAGTCGCTGTATTTCGATGGGATCGAGGCACAATCAAAGATGTGATTTGCCTGAGCAAGCCAGGCTTCGTCGTAGCTTCCAAAAATATGGCGTAAAATAACTTTATGCGGAATGGCGCTGGGAATGACCCTTTGAAAGGTCAATGCTGTAATGGGCATAAAGAGCGGTAACTAACCGAGTCCAGCCGCTTTCCAAAACCTGGCACGACTCGGGACTGGGTGAGTCGCCAGTGTGCCAGCCACTACCCACAAACTGGGGATCAGACAGGTATACGACCTCCCCTACAATTTCGTAGCCAGCTGGCATGTACACAACGCCCCTCAAGTGAACCGATGTGTTCGAGGAAACCTCCCGAGTGTCAACATACTTCAGGTACGTGCCACAGACCGCATGATACTGGTCCATCGAGATGGCCTCTATTATTTGCGAGTGGTCTGGTGGTTCAAAAAGAAATGATGTGCCAAGCGGCCGCGACCAACCTAAACGGAATCCATATGTGATCGGATTGCTGTCGTAGCCGGGCATCACGAGTTCAATGCAGAGGCGGCCTGTGGAGCGCCGTATCCACATCGTATTATCCCAATAGCTCTGCAGTAACACTAGCATTGAAAATGCAAAGTACTGCTTCAACGCGTTGCTCACCAGCTCTCTCTCTGAATATGATTTCAGATAATAGTAGGCATTCTATCCGGAAGGAACAACTAAAAATGAGGAACAGGAATTAAACAATCCTCGCACAGTCAACTCTGTTTCCTATGAGAGTATGAGTCAACAGGGCGAACAAAGCTCCGGGGAGGCATTTACTAGCTGATTCCACAGATATACAGTCGCGAAATGGGACACGCGGTACTTGTCGAATGTGCTTTTCGCAGGAACCAAATCTAATTATTATTGTCTCGATAGTTAGATCGCGCACTGCGCAAGATATTACACGAACCGTCATGAAACACAGCAGCATGTATACCACATGAGCTGGCCGTGCCATAAATCTGTACGAAATTCGGATGGCTATTTATAAAGTTGAATGTGAAACCCGTTTGCGGGAAGTATTGACCCACCGAAGCCATGAATGGCGTCGGATATCCTCCTGCCATTCCTGGAAAATTGATTAGCTCGGATTCAGTGCAGTGACACCTAAAACACACCTCCTCAGCATTATTTCCTTGATACAGGGCCACCGTCATCTTTGAATCGACACCACGAACCCAAGCAGAATATATTCTCCTCACGGATGCTTGTTTCCCCCTGCGGTATACAACCGAGCTGCGGCCGTCTAGGTATATTTCTGCGAGAAGATCTAGGTCCCCCATTCGGAGTCGGCGAAAATCTGTCCAATACTCAAAAATTCTTCTTCTGCATTTTAATTGGTACTCACCGGAAGGAATCGTAAGCACAGAGCAATTTATATTTGTGAAATTTCCGCCCGTCACCCCGAAATGCTGCGCGTTGGGGAAGAAAGCGCCGGGAGACCTGGAAGGCATTTGGTTCTCTCCAACTGGCAACGAGAAGGTGAGGATGCGGCACATACTCGGTTTCTTCAGGTTCGCTCTCGTCGGTCAATCCATCGTGTAGCTCAGAGTGGGCTTCGTCGTCCATGGATGGTGGCAGTAAGAAGGAGAGATGTTAAGCGCCTTACAGCAGTGTGCAGTGCGCCCTATGAATAGTTTCAAAGCTGTGGAGAGTTTCTCACGATGCTTTGTCGGATTATCGTGGTGTCCGCGCTCAGGCATGAGCAATAAAAAGCAGAAAAACAAATCAGTCGGGGCCGGGTGTGGGTAGGATCCTCTACGGAGTGCGTGAGCGGCGCGACCTTGGCTTACTGGAGCGCGGGCGCGTGGAGCGTTGAATAGAGGGTGGGCAGAATACGGAAGAGAGATTAATGTCAAGGCCCGCTGTGCCTCAAAATGCCCTGAGCGAGGTCGTCGCTGGAGAAAAGACGAGAGGAGCATTGCGGATCAAACTTATCGTGCACTCCGAATTGATCCGACTCGACCCGCACTTCGTTGAAGTTCGTGTTTTGTGCTTCGTATCCCTTCCTGCCACTTCCGACCTCCTGGAACTGTACGGAACCGCCCCATTCTCTGCAGTGCTTCACTTTGAGCACTGAAGGACTCCGCAGGCCCTGCTATGAAATGTCGGGGAAAAAAAAAGAAATTGGCCTCAAAGCGCCATCCAACACTGACGAGATTCTGAGCCTATTTTTGGATAGGGCTCGCGGATTTACTGGCCCAACGCGTCGTTTTTCTTCTTTTTTTTTTTGCGAGGGGGCTACGGCACGCGCGGGGTTTCTGCGCACCTTAGTGCCTCGCTAACTCTACAACGCAGTCGTGTAATGATACCTACCTACCTACCAGGAGCACCAAGAATTAATTGCACGTCTCCGGCGATACCGGCCGGGGCAGGCGCGTTGGCTTTTCAACTTGAAAGGCCAACGCGCTTTTGTGAGCAGATAGCATTGACACCAACTTAACCGTCGACCTGGACATGCGCTAATGTTTCCAAATTCCTTCTCTGATTCAAAAATACCCGACTTTCATGCCCCTTATGCCCTCGGGAGGATTCGAACCTCCACCTCCCGTTTATATTCACAAACTAAAATGTATGTGAAACGGGTGATGTACTGGTTCATCTACGAGGGTCCTTATGCGTAGCTTGAACCTGGATAGAATGTCGTCTTTTTTTCACAATTTTCAGATGCAGAATCAGTAATCAGTGCAAAAAAAAAATGAAAGTGCGGGAGTATTCGAGGGCCCACCTACATTTACTTGCTCGTCATCCGGACCGCGAGGGCCTTTCTGAACCTGGATAAAAAGAAAATATAAGCCTCTTGTGAAGCACTAAATTGTCCTTGCGAGTATGAAGTTCTCGCTAGTCGCAAACTAGCGAGCACGTGTGCTTGCTAAGCGAGGTGATCGACGACAGAGTCTCTTCTGCTTCTGACGTTCATGTCCTCCTGCGGACCTGCGCTGGCAAGGACTCCCCTGACTCTCTATTTTCTCTCACTTCCCCCTCACCCCTTCACCAACTGCTTCTGAGGCCTGAGACCTCCACTCACCCCTCATTATGGAACACATCTTTTGGTTTCCTTGCTGGGATATTCCTCTCTTCTCTTGTACTACTGTGTTTCTTGCTCTTGGATCTCTGTACCTCCTCTTCACCTACATCTGGCTGGAAATACCCTACTCGATGGAAACCTGATTTGGAGCATATTGACTTGAATTTGCACTGAAAGGTAAGCTTTGGGCCGTGTGGCCGTCGCCAGTGCATTTCTTTTGCGGGCCATGGGCCATGTTGTTTTTTACCTGGGCCGCGGGCCATGTTGTTTTTTACCCGGGCCGTGGGCCATGCATTTCGTTTACGGGTAGTGGACCATTTTGCTATGTTCCTTTTTACCCGGGCCGTGGGCCATGCATTTCTTTTACGGGCCGTGGGCCATGCATTGTAAGTATTATGGCCGTGGGCCATTCTGTGTGCTGTTTATCCTGATCTTGAGCCGCGAGCGGCTGATTTGGGTGGCACGGCTGTACGCGCGCGTTCGCCGTTCGCGGCTGTTGTGGGTTGTCGCGCTCAGCCGTGTTACCTCGCGCTCGATCCCTACGGATCTCGCCCGACCTTGAGCTTTGTGAGATGGGAGATCTGACCGAGCCATTAGCAAGCCGTATATGTTCATCCGGCATTGAATAATATAATTAGTATGTACTCGCAATGAATCGTGTATGTAATGTACGTCCGCGCACGCAGCATCACAAGGTACGTGTGAATATTAATGCACTACAAAATGGTCGCTCTTCTCTTCTCTCCTAATTAGCTCTCTCCTCACAAAATAATCCAGTCTCCTCTCCTCTCAAGATACTAGTTCAATTAGCCCCGAAACGGTACTGTCGGCTCCGCGGCGCCTTCCGCCTTCTCCGCCACCCATGAGATCGACGTCGCTCGAACGCGACGTGTCAGCGAGGCGGATCGGCACGCCCATGCGGAGCGTCCCCATCGTCCCAGTCGAACCCGTGGTATTGCCGACAAAGTGGATCGGGTCCGAGTCGGTGTTGGTGCTGATGCCGATGACGGTGGACTCGAGGTGTGTGCGGTCGAGCGAGACGAGGAGGACGATGATGACGGGACAGATTGTCTGTGTGCGTCGATAATATGCGTGAGTACTACGAATTGTGGAAGAAAAGAGGGAAGAGGGCGTACGGAGAGCTGCGGGATCATGTTCGCGACGATCTTGTAGCCCGTCGTGTCCCCGCCCTGGTTCGTGAGGGTGGTGTACAGGAAGGGGATCTGGTGAACGTGAACATGTAAGTACGCGAAGAACAGCCCCGATAAGAGAAGGCGCCATACCCAGATGAGACAGTATATCATATCCGACGCAGTGAAGATGACGAGGATGCGCTCGACCTTCGTTTTCTTCTTCTTCGGGAGGTCGAGCTGCAGCTTGATCTGCTGCCGACACTGCCTGCGGGGCCGATTAACACAACACACGATTGCGACGTTGGAGAATGGAATAATGAATGGATGCATGGATACCCACCGCATTTTATGGGCCATGAGGGAGGTGGCGACGATGTTGGTGACGAGGAGGGGCAAGACCATGATGAGCGCGCTCGCCGAAGTGCCACAGCGCCCCGAACGTCATGTGCGTCTCCGCACCGACTGCCGGGCGATGTAAGTAACGGCGGAATATAAGAAGGAATCTTGCGCCGCACCCAAGCGGCCGAGTAGACATAGAATGACGAGCAGGCGCACTTTGAGGCTGTTGTGGTAGAGCACCCATGCGCGCCAGCAAACGATCGCATCGCTCATAAGGTGCTGTTATCCTTCAGCCGAAATCCCAGTCAAGATGGCAGGAGAGGCACGCACGTTGACCGGCCGAAGGCATTCAGAGACAAGCGAATCTTCCGTCCGATGTTTTTGGGGTTGGCGCCGAGGGTGAGCAGCTGCAGGACGTTGAAGGCCAGCTGCTCGATGGCCGGCAGGTTGGCGGTAACGGACATCAGGACTGTCGCGGCGAGGAGGGCCTTCCGCGCATACGGCCCTGCCTGGCCCTCGTGTGGCACGTCAGCTACGCGCCTGCTACAGAATCGGGTGCAACGCGGTGACGCACTTCTCCTCGCGACAGCCGATCTTGTGGATGCCGGCGCTGAGATCGCGTACGCTGACCGCCGAAGAGCGGTAGTGTATGAGGTGTCTTCAAGTCGGGAAGTCGTAGGTAGTACAACAGTTAGAATAAGGTCCCAGGCGTGTCGTCTCTCCATCGGGATCGGGAAACACTCCCACACCTGCGCATTTGGTCGGCAGCGCCGAGCAGGTCGAGTTCCTCGAAGGACGTCAGGTGACGCTGAACGGCGCTGGTGTCTGAAAAGATATTGCGGAGGTGTGGCAAAGTTGCGCTTGGACGACAGCGGCGCGAGGAATTCCTGGACGCGATTGGTCCAATCGTGTACTGCGCAGCGCGAAGCGGGAGCGGTGGGACCGAGTTCGTCGTTTGAGGAAATGGCGGGAAGAAAAAAGGTCTGCGGATCAAACTTATTGGATTTGGAAGCAATCCGAGTTGATCCGTCTAGATCGACTGACCGGCTTCCTCGGCCTTGCTGCTTTCTCGCCAGGTCTTTATGGAAATCGACACAGAGAGCCATATAATTATTCTGGTTGCGGACTCTGAGGATCTGATAAAAAGATCTATCCATAAACTTTGCCTAGGCATCAGATGCCCATCCTGGAATATTCACGGTGCAGTGCGCAGCAGTCTACCTAGTTCTAGCTGGGTGACAAAAGGCTCTTCGCAAATTAAATTGTGGATCGTTCAACATCCCTAGCCATCCAGGCAGAGGATACCGTTCAATTGTCGTGTTCTAGGGCTGGACATCCGACAGGCTATACTGCTTTATTTCGATCAATTCGAACAAGGTCCCGACTTTTCGGAGGAAAAAAAAATCCCATAAATTGAGAAAAAATTATTGCCGCAATAAAAAAGGTAGCGCGTGACGCGTGATGTTCGAATTGAATGAAAAAGGACAGTATTTCCTTTCAGCAAAAATAAGTTCGGCCCGCAACCTTCCCCTATCATTTCCACGTCGGCAGCGCGCGAAAGGTTTATAATATGTTGTGCGAGCCTACAGTCCCAGTTCCTCCTTGCTCACGCTATAAAAACTTGAAAAAAAAACCATCCTCATCGATCATGCTCTTGGGGGGATTCGAACCTCCTCCCATTTTTACAGCCAGCACTCAAGCATGCGCAACGGATGATGTACCGTTTCATCTACAAGAGCTATTTTCCATACCTCTGAAGATAGGTTGGTTCATGCTTTCTCTTGCACGAGAAATTTGCAGCTCGCCCTGAAAAGCACTCAAACTCCCGCTTCCCATTCAGAACATGGTGGATTTCTGCTTATGTACAATGGGTGATTCGCCAATTCATGCACAAGAGCTATTTTCTCTCCCTTTGAAAAAGCGTAGGGTCCCACATTCTGTTCTCTCATGGGGGGGGGGGGGGGGGGGGACATGTCCTATCACATATCCATGCCCTGGAGATTCGAACCCCTGCCCCATTTACCATCGGAGTTTCTTTTGTTCTGCTTATGTGCAAGGGGTGATGTGCCGATTCATCTACAAGGGTTATGATGTCCCCTTCATCTGAACAAGGGTACTTCTCTAACCCTTTCCTGCAGTGAAGAAAAGACAACAAGTTACCCACAGACATGCCCTCAGGATGATTCAAACCCCGCTTGCTAGGCTAATTACATCCTCCGTATGGCTTGGATGTGCATGGTCTGATGTATTATTTATCGGCGAGGGCTCTTTCCCTACATCTGAGCCTGGACATGAATTATGAAAATCCCTTCTTTGACACGGTCTCAACCCAGTTAAGAGAGAAGTCGAAATTCTAGTCTTAATTTAGCCCTGAAATTCGTGATCAATTGAGTGGCTTAACTGGGTTGTCGGTGTTGTTGAAGGCCACAGTTCAGTAAAGCATTTCAATGTGGTCGAACTGGTAAGAGAAGAAACTGAACCTGTTGAAATTCTGTCTTACTTGCATTGGACGAGATTGAAATTGAACATGAGGCTTCCCTCGTGTGACTTTATTGCGTTCTTACGAGAAGTGTTCAACTGCCGGTTGAAAGAAACCAAAGACAGTAAATATCATACATTCCAGTATATTCCCCAGCTAATACCAATACTTTAGAAGAAATAGTGTTCGTACAAAGAAAATATCATCAAAATAACGATGACTGCAAATTGTGCACCCATGAAAAGGTTCCAGTTCAAGGTTGGTTCAAGCAAATCGGCATCGTCAATTTCGCAGGAGGTTTCATTCCGCTCTAATAATGGGTGGGTGAATGATAGAATACACAGGCCACACATTCTTGAACGACGCACCAGTTGGCTCGTGAGAAGTTACTTCTTCACAATATGCACCGTTTGGCATCTCGCCGTCAGGGACCTCGGTCTCATGAACTGAATATCAGAGACGAAAATCAGAGTTGGGATACGGTATAGGATATCAGTCTTACCGCAGATTTCATAAAGTGGAAACCCAAGCTCACAGGCGACCTCTTGGCTGTACGGATCGAAACCTTTGGCTTGATGAAATTCACGGATACCGGCGTAGACAAGATCATCCCATGAAGTTGTATGGACAGCC